CAAAAAATCCGAAAAATTCAGAAAATAGTATGTTAAGAGTGGAAACTGACATATTTCGCACGGTGATATTTAGTGCGGAAATGTAACAAGTGCATAAAATACACTTTCCAACGAGTTATGTACACTATTTTTCTTACCACGGTAAATATATAATTTAAAACCCAAATACAAATTTCAAACATTTAATTGTTTTTAATAACTTTTAACATGCCAATCTGACTTATTACCCGGTAAATAAATCATTATCATTCTGAAGAATAAAAATTGAAAGTGATACGGTTTGTAAATCAAACTTTTTATCGAAATTGAAGTTTCCCTCGTTGTCCAGAGCTTGGTCGATATCTACCACTCACCTTGTAACAACGCAACCAAAAATACAGCAGAGTGCCGAGGCGATTCAAAATAAGCGATACGCCCTCTTGCGGATATTCAAGTAACTAATGGAGAGCACATTGAATGTTTGTTTACATTCAAGTTTCCATGGATTTCATCGGGAGTTTGAATTCTTCAGTAGAATATCCTTAATCATTATTGCTCCGTTTCACATGTTATTCATGGAAGTTTTCTCAGTGTATTTCACAGAAAATGATAATTTCATTCAGTGAATGATTGAAAGATTTTCTCTCAACTTCGAGATTGAATTGTGTTGCATTTTATTCCCAGAAGTGAACAGTTGAAGTGGGAATTTGAAAAAATTAAATCCTCATTCAAAAACAAAGCACATATGTTCAATTTTTCCTACTAGTTAGATCAATTATTCGCAGATACATCCAGCTTTGAGGACGTTTTCTCTTTCATAAACACATGTAAGTAGATGCATCGACTACAATACATACATCTCAAATACATCATCGTATTCACTGCACTGAATTTGCAATATTTATTTTACTACCCAATGGAAATGAAACTAACGTCACCTCGAATTGGGGCACTTAAATCTTGCGAATCTCATTTATGTTAAGTACAGAAACATACTTTGTTGAACGAATATCTGCTGAAAGGGTTGATGTTAGTTGACCGAAAGTCTATTCGTCGAAAGTCAATTGATCGAATACGCCAATTGGGCAAATACGTCAGTTGGACTCAATTTGGTCAATTCGTTGAATTTCATAATATGTCACCTGATTGTCAAGTGAATAGTCTTGAATGCAGAATGGCGTGTTTCATGCAAACTGAAAAATTGAAAAAAAAGCTATATGTATGTACGAGATTCAGAAAGGAATGAAAAAACTTATTGGATGTGAGTTTATGAAAACTTGCAAAGGGAGAGCACATACAATGATTTCTGCTATAGACGGAGACGAGGTATACACGAAAGGTGAGCATTCACACCAACCAGATACTCGTAGAAAATAAGTTATAGGAGCATCAAATCTTCCCAGGAAAAGTGCAAGAGAAACGTTGAATCCAACAAGCCATATTGTGCAGGACATAATGAATTCTGTGATTCTTGAGACGGCTACGATTTTATCATCAACTTCATTGATGGAAAGAACCGTTCTGAGAGAGAAAAGCAGGAACAAATTGCCTCTTCCAACATCGAATGATTTCGTTTTACCCGATGAATACAAAACAACTTCGAGCGGTGATAATTTCCTAGTGCAGGATTTTAGAAAAAATGGCGAGAGGATATTGATTTTTGCAACACGAAAAAATTTGGAAGTACTTCAAAAAGCTCATGTATGGTTTGCAGACGGAACTTCCAAGGTAGTACCGAACATTTTCAGACAGCTTTATACGATTCATGCATATGTGAAGGGATTGTTTGTCCCATTAATATACGCACTTTTATCCAATAAGAAGAAACAAATATACAGGGTGTTTCATAATTGAATGCTGATCCTAAAGGGCGATAATCCTTGGATGATTTTAAGAAAAATTCTTCATGTGAACATAGGTCCGTAACAGCTTCGTTTCTGAGATACAGGATGTTGAAATTTAACAAAAAAATCAGTTATTCCCCAATATCTCTGAAACAGCTCTGGCTTTTTTCTCCAATTCCGGTACATGCCAAGTATGAATAGAAATACATTTTTTCCATAATAAAGGATTTCTTAATTTCCATCAGTGGCGTCCCTGTTAACATACCCTGTCATATTTTTCATCAAAATAATGATACGCCACTGCCTTTTTTCCAAATAAATATCATTTTTGTAATTATCCTCTATCTTCTCATAAAAATGGTCTCTTGTCTTTTTTTCGTCCGGCGAACGGTATTTGAGTTAAAAAATAAAATGCATTCATTTGCTTGTCGATTACTCTTAGTCACAATTTCGCAATTGTGGTAACCAAAAGATCTAAGCAATATTTTTATAATTTTATGGTAACTATTTTTAAGTATTTGTAATGAAGAAAAAAGCCAGAGCGGTTTCAGAGATATTGGGGAATAACTGATTTTTTTGTTAAATATCAACATCCTGTATCTCAGAAACGAAGCTGTTACGGACCTATGTTCACATGAAGAATTTTTCTTAAAATCATCCAAGGATTATCGCCCTTTAGGATCAGCATTCAATTATGAAACACCCTGTATATGACTATGTTAGATATTTTGAAGCAACAAGCTGATTTTCCGAATCTACAGTCTATCATACAACAATATTTTGAACGTAAAATAGAACAGACGTTGGATGGAAATGACGAGAAACGTATGAAAATATATGTCGATCTAGATAAGAGAGTCAAATCTGTTGTAGATGAGTTTGAAAATAATGAATCTGTCGATTACTTGAGAAGTATTGCTCATAATCTCAAATAATGTATCATTGATTAATATTTATAGAAATAATAGAATGTATGGAATCGTTGAATGATTGAAAAAAAAAGTGTAACAAAGCTGGCATGTTCATTAATTTTCTAATATTTCCCATAATGGGCTAGTGATAGGGATTTTACTAGGGTTCTTCACCCTTCTCACTTCAGCGATGAAATAAGAAAAGAGACTCAACACTGACGGAAGTAATAATGGAAACCCGAATAATATCATCGCTTATTCAAGAATCGAGTGAGAAATATGGATTCCAAAAAAAAATTTCGGCCAATTCAGTCCAACTGACGTATTCGGCCGATTGGCGTATTCGGCCAATTGACTTTCGACGAATTGACTTCGACGAATTGACTTTCGACGAATTGACTTCGACGAATTGACTTTCGACGAATAGACTTTCGGTCAACTGACATTGACCCCTGCTGAAATGCTCACTGGATCCACAGGAGTACACAAATGAACAGTTTTCTATGCTCAAATCACTATAAAAGAATCGAAATAATACACACAAGCAAATGAACCATTTCAAAACAATGTAGCTTCATATAGTTCCACAACCGGCCACATTGGCGCTGCGATTTTAAATTCAGACACCTAGACTCAAGCCAGACCGGTGTAGACCCGAGCCATACTGGTGTAGACAGCAATGGCAGCATTGCAATGAGGTTATGTCTCGCAGATTATGACAAAATGACAAATACCGAAACCAATTATTAGTTCTCATTGGGCAAAATTTAAACTCTTAACGAAAATGGATGTGTACAATGATAGTAAGTATTAAAATATGATAATTTAGTATTATAATCATCCATACATTATATAGACCAAACAAAGATCACTTGATTGTGCAGGAATATTGCCACACTGTTTGTTTTCACTTTCGTATTGCTATTGCTTTATGCTGCTTCCCTAGCTGGTCGTAGGAAAATGAATATTTTACCTCCTCAATGAATCTACAGATAGAATTAGGCCATTTTATAAAACTTTGAGATAATGGAACTACCAGGATAATCTCGATATCATATCAATAATTGCAGTGACCTATATTATCTGTGAAAAAAAAATGGTTTCAAGCTCATAATTGGCATTCCTAATGCTGTTCTTGACCTCCAATTTCAAACAATCCGACCATAAATTGTCTAGTGCTTACTATAGCTTTGTAACTTATGACAATCATGACTAATAATCTAAAATATGTTTGACATGTCACGTAAGCGCTGGTGTGGCGATGGCAAATTGTCAAGAAAATTATTATGAGATTTAAAAAATAATTATTAATAATTGATAGCAGTGAGAAAAGGGGTCAGATTTCCAGATATTATTATATTTGAAAAAGTTTTTTGAAATTCAATTATTTAAGACCCATATTAAAGTAGGTAATGGGCCAGTGGACTGATAATGAATTATTGGCATTCCATTACTCCACTGTATCGTTAGGAACCTAATTTAATTTTTTCAACACTTCATGTTTTAGAGCTCATTTCAAACGTCATGGCCGCCATTTTGAGATACATCGAATAAATGGTGACGTCAGTTTTTGGTCAATCGATTTCCACTCATGAAGCAAAAAGATTAGTGTTCTGTTGTTGAATAAAACACGTGATTTTTACCCTCAAAAGTCCTCTAGTGTGAATCAATATAATAATATTATTATCAACACAAATGTATTATAAGCAATAAGCCACAACAGATGAGGGAATATTTTGAGACAATTGATTTTTCATGTCTAACTAGGAATATAAGCAATACAAAATTGAGGATTCAGAAATTATTGAATAACTAATATATCTGAAGTTCCAATCGTATTTCATCAGTCAATCAGTTAATTTTTAGCCGTTTAATAATTATCGTGGCATTATTGTTGATTGTAGCACCTTAAAATCGAACAAAAAATTCTAAAACAATATGAAATTGATAGAGATATCTGTTACAAAATGTGTATGCCATGCCGTATGGCGCCCATAGTGAAAATGATGGAGATATGGGCATTAGTAAGTTTTTTCATATGAACATTGGAGACGAAAGGGGAATTATGAATATTCCAGAAAACAATTCAAAATATTATCTATTGAAAACACACTTCAGTTTGATAATTTGAAAGAAAAATTATACTACTCCTACCCAATAATTCGTTTCTCTAAATCCGGAATTGCACTAAATGGGAATTAATTATCGCATTTATTCTCCAATCAATATGAATATAAATAAAAAAATTTCATAACTATCCAAAAAATTAAATAATTCTCTCGTAAAATAGTAAATAGGCTTGTGCTGCTAAAACTTTTGATTCCTGTACTTCAGCCACATGAGAGTCACTAATATAGTACCACTTTCCAGAGGGTACTTCAGGGTCCCATACCGGTCCTTTCGGCGAATCGTCCATTTTATCCCTTTGGTTCTTAGGTAAGTACTGCCACCTGTAGCTGTTCTCATCCAGCGGGGGTCGAACCTTGACGTAGGCTACATAATGGCCCCCATGAATCGATCCGCTATGTTCTACGACGCCGTAGAGGGAGTAGAGCACCTTGTTCTGGCCTATCTGGAAGGTGGGCAGACTCCGGGACCGTTTTGAGCAAAACGGCGCCAAATCCAGAACGGTGGAGAATTTCACGAACTTCGATACCTTGGCCGAACGAAACCTGTGCACCTATGAAAAATAGGTGTCAACAGAGTCCATTAATAATAATAATAATGTTTATTCGTATTAGCATACAGCAGCCATCCGAAAATGGATATACACGTCAGTTATAAAAAGTATTTTAAAAAAGTATGCAGCATAGGCCAAGACATTTAAAATTATGATTTACACGTAAGATAATGAGAGTTACAATCAGAGCCGGACTGGTCCGTCGGGCGATCGCCCGATGGCCTGGCCCATTTTTGGCCCGCTGGCCTGGCCCTGCCTGTTGGAGCTTTATTTTATATAATGATGAAGATGGAAAGCCCAAATTTCGAGTGACAACGGAAAATCAAAGAACTCCACCGCCCCGTGTGAGAGTCGAACTCACAACTTCTGGGTTACATGCCCAAAGCTCTGCCAATTGAGCCAACGGGTCGTAAAAAATGTCGTTTTCTGTCACCCCCGTGACAGGAATTAACCCCTCTTTCCCTATGGAACAAAGCTGATCCATACGCGCCTGTTCTATGTTCATTAGTTTCATAATATTATTATTTCGTTTATTGTTCTTGGTATCAAAGAAGTGTTTCATCTATCCTTTATGAAAATCCGTTTTATTTTTGAAAATGTGGAATCTTTAACAAAACAACTACTCGACGGAGTCTTGATACTTTTGGTGGTGAATATTCTAACATAGCATATATTAACCAGTCCACCTTGAAATTTGAGAAAAAAAAAACGCCTGCAACGCACACTTTTTGACAGGTAAATTGGCAATAATTGGGAATTACGTCCGGCCCGTTTTGTACCTTCAGTCCGGCCCTGGTTACAATTTAAGATTTACACCTAGGATAAAAGGAATAACATTTACACATATGGTAAATAGAATAAAATCTACACATGAGGTAAAAAGAATTGACAATAGACAATTTGAGTGAAAGAACACCAATTGACAATTTGGGGTGTACACACTACCAATTTAATACACTATGCCGTTATAGCAAGCTAGATTCATAGTACTCATTTATATTATAATAAGCGCCCTGAGTCAATATGCGCTTTATAGACGATTTGAACTTGGTCAAATTCATTTCTCTGATTTCTTGAGGTAAATGATTGAAGAGGTTTATTCCCAAATAGTCCGGGGATTTTTCAGTACGAGATTGATTGTGTCTAGTGATATCAAAATCATGAGCATTCCTGGTAGAATATCTATGATAATCAGAATGTTTTAAAAACCTTTGCGAGTTGTTCTTTACATAAAGAAGGGTTTTAAATATGAGAATAGATGGTAGGGTTAGGATATTATCATTTTTAAAGGCATGCCTGTATGTGTCACCATGTGGAATATTAAAGATTAGTCTCATTTTTCTTTTCTGTTTGATGAATACTTTCTTCCAGTTAACAGCATTATCCCATGAACAAACATTGTATGAAAGATGACGATAAGCTAAAGAATAGTATACACTAATGAGAGTACTCAAATTCGATGGCAATTGCACAATGGCATAGAATGCTGAGCTGAGTTTTTTACTGATATGATCTATGTGTTTGTCCCAGCTCACGAACTCATCTAAATGAACACCCAGAAATTCAATTGTACCGGGTGTACAACTAAGAAAGCACACCTGCTGTATCTCAAGCACTATATGCCGTACAGGTTTTGAAAAAAATCATGTTGGAAAATATTGATTACATAAGTACCTAATACAATAAAGAGTAGCATTAGTGTATCTTTAAATATTGAAATTGTCTCTCATCATTTTTTAAAAAGTCTCTACTGCTTCCCCTTCGAGAATTGATACGCTTCTGACGGCATATTTGACCTATTCATTATATCGTTCCTAGTAGTTGGTTTGGAAAACTATAACTTTCAATATTCCTGTATCTTTCAATATTCCTTATGAATGAAAATCTAAACAATTTAGATCTGAGGAACTAAACTGCTCCACATTTGAAGTGAGACTAGCGAATATTTAGTTTGTTTTCGAAGCTTTGTGAAGAGTCAACAGCCGTTGCAGTGTGAAGGCGCGACGGAAAAATCTCAGTTTCTGTGAAACTGCTTTAGCGATATTCGCGACAAACTCGTTCGTAGGGAGGAATGGAATAAATGTGGAGTGATTATTTTATGAATAATATTGTGTTTTTTATTATTGCTCCAGTAGTATAGTGGAATTTTGTTTCCTTTAGAAATGTGAGATCTCTCATAATCATCATCATCATCATTCGAAAACAGTAGAGTATTTATGAGATTTCGAAATCAAAAAGGCTCTATGTCTATGCTCTTTCTAACTCAAACGGCCATCAATAAGTTCTTCCACGTGCAGCTGAAGACGTTGCAGACCTTCTGGTAGGTAAACTGAAGAACCCTGACGTCACGCATACCTTTATTGTGCCTGGTCCTCAGATTTTTGGTAATTTGGGCTGATATTATTTTGAGTTAGAAATCACCCTGTTAATGCGTCGTCCATATTGCTGCCACAATAACAAATCTCGATTGGGTGTGCGTGTCATGTAATTTGTTTTTGTTATGCTCAATGATTTCATGCATAACATGTAATTAAATAAAGTCCGGATCCACGATTCAATAATATGTGTTTATCAACAATCTTCTAATGACTTTGTCATGCCGAATGATTTCATCAAAACATTTATCCTGTAATTAAATCAAGTCGTGATTATATGTGATGAAGGTGGTTGTGTATGAGCGTACGACAATCCATCAACGAGTGATAGTACTTTTCCCAACTCGTGTGTAATTGTAGCTTTAGTTTGGAAAATTTTCCATCGAAAACAAATTATTATTGAAGATGATGCTTAACTCCTTCCTCCTAGAATTTTCATTCAAATTGTTTATAAAAAAGCACGGAGCGAGTTTGAATCTCAGTTCAACGATAACTTCTTGAATAAAAAAAAACAAAACAATGATTGGAGCAAATGGTGAGTATTTTCTTGTCTGAAATTTCGTGAATGATAATAATTGAGAATGTTTTTTAGAAGCTATGTCAGAGCAAGGAGTGAGGGGGCTGTTGCCAGAAAATTTGAGAGTTAGTATAGGAAGTGATCTAATTATATGATTTTTTAATGTTCAATATGTTTCAGAACATGGAAATTATCATGATTGTGGATGAAGATGTGAGACTTTATGCCGGCGGATGCCATGGAGTTTTGTTTTATAAATATAGGTGAATAATTTTTGAAAATATCTTTGATTTGACTACTAATCATTATCTTTGTTACAGATTCCATGTGACACGCACACCCAATCGAGTTTTGTTATTGTGGCAGCAATATGGACGACGCATTAACCAGAAGAGTAAGAAAGAGCATAGAGCCTTTTTGATTTCGAAATCTCATAAATACTCTACTGAAAACATCAATAATGTTGAATGTTTCTGGCTACAAATACAATATTTTGTACAATAATACATTAATCTGCATAATTGTGACTGAGACAATAGAAAAAGCTCGTCAAAGCTAATTAGGATGTAATTTTCAGAGGATGAAAATAATGAGAATTGATGAACATACCACAAAGAGAATACAGATAATATGTAACACAATATTTTTTAATGAAAAAAAAAATCAACAACGGAAGTTTTGATGTCACTTATCAATATTTTGTTACACCACCCCTAGCCGCTGCAAGAGCCCTAACTCTTCTCGGCATACTGCTTATCAAGGCATCAATGAAATCTTGGGGAATAGCTGTCCATTCTTCCACTATCGCATCTTCCAATTGCTGAACATTCATCATTTCACCTTCTCTCCTCTTCAAGCATAATTTTAACCTAGCCCATACAAGTTCTATTGGGTTCATGTCTGGAGACACGGGTGGCCAGTCCATTCTTTCAATGTTATGTTGTCTCGGAACTTCGGTAAAATTCTCGCACGATGTGGTCGTGCATTATCATCGACCAGTGCGAAAAGTTTTGAGCAACTGGTATAACAACATCCCTCAAGCACATGTCACGATATTGAACAGCATTTATAATTTTCCTCAAAATAACCAACGTGTTGCGATGGTTCATCATTATACCGCCCCATATCGTCACACCCCCACCCCCAAATGCCACCCGCGCCTCCATATTTTCCTCCAGAAACCTCTTACCCCTTCCATCTGATCTGAACATATTACACCTACTCTCATTAACGAATAAACATCTCCTTCAGTCAGCTATTCCCCAGTTCAAATGGTTCTGAGCCCAAAGTCTTCAAGCTATCCTATGGGTTCAGCTTCAACAGAGTACAAGAAGCTCTCCTTCTAGCTCTCAGATTGCGCTCATGAAGCCTTCTAATTGTCTCATCTGAGGCAACAACTCCTGTTCCATTTTTTAGTGTCCAGTTCAGTTGGCCAGCAGTCTGTGTTCGAAGACGACGTACCTAAGTAACTAAAAAATTATAATTTTTCGCAGAAGTCTTTCTCTGTCGTCCACCATGACGATAATTAGGATCTCCTGTTTGATCTCCGGATTGCCCTGTATATTGAAGCTCTTGATGTGTAGAAATACTGTCCAATGTATCCAACATTCAATCCACGATCTCTCATTCTGAGAACCATTTATAATTGTTCTTTAGTTAGTCGTGGCATATTTTATTACAATAATCAAAAGTATGACAACTTCTGATTATTTCCCAGACAACATGAGACTATCCCGAGAGGTTAACCAATGAATTTAAGTTATTCAAACAATTCGAAAAGCCATATGTTGTTCAAAATTGCATATCTCAAAACATCCTGTATGGATCTTGATATATCCGGAACCATTTCGAGAAAACACATCAGGCTTCATGTTGCAGTCAGATTTTTTTTTTAAACTATCCTACTAACGGGGCGACCTCAAACTTTTCTAAAATTATCACACTTTCCGATATCATCCTGTAGGTCATGATTCTGAAAAGGTGGAGAAACGTAAGAATATTATGTTATACCCAATTGACTGAGCAATCCGAATCCCAAAAATAAAATCAAAAATCGGTTGATCCCATCCAAAGTTCTTAAGGTTCGAAAACAAACAAAATATTCGCTTGTCTCACTTCACGCTACCCCTTACTCCTTCCTATCCACTTGCCACGATATCTTAAATCTGAATAATTCCGAACATTCAGAGTAAAATATGCCGGACATTCAGCATGCTTGAAAAACATATTTCTTCTGGTCTACAATTTCTAGCACAAGAGGTAGTTCATCACGCAAGAAATTGAGATTAACATTTCCATTGAGAGTTTCAATGAAAATAAGTTGTCAGCAGACCGAGAGCGGCTGATGAGACTTGGTGGGTCGAAACAGTACTGTCTCGGTCCTGCTGACAATTGGGGCAACTCTGTTCATCCTAGATCTCTTAGTTATATGATTTAGCAGTTGAATAGGTAGTGGAAAAATTCCACTCAAGTATGTCAGGTATTGCCATCTGTCAGCAGAGTGATTTACTTGTAGTACCACTCTGTAGTGTATAGACGTAGGGGTCTGTACGTGTGACTATAGATGGCAGCGCCATACAGTGTATGTCGCGATATCTCTGTATCCTACCTCAGAGCTTTGCCACAAAATGGCTACAACATGACTACAACTTCATGTTATACCCTGCGTCTTCGAAATGGGTGATATACCCGAAGCGTAGAGTTGTCCCAGTTGTCAGCAGACCGAGAGCGGCTGATGAGACCTGGTGGGTCGAAACAGTACTGTCTCGCTCCTGCTGACAATTGGGGCAACTCTGTTCATCCAACAACATATAATCTCCAAAAATTAAAAAAAAATTCCAATACCTACCTCCTGTCCCTATCCTCCCTAGGAACGCATGATGTTCTTTGAACATTATAGGGATTCCCTTTCGTGCGCTCCAATCGATAAAAAAAATAAAAGATCCTAGAATTTGTTCGTCTATAATTCCGCACCAATCATTCACTCCATCGACCTCGATATTGAACTTCCTGCATTCAATGAGTATTACTCTGGGACCAATAGTGGGAGCTGCAGTGTTATCCACTTGACAGAGACTTGTGTTCGTGTATAAAAATGATGAGAGATAATTTGAATATCTGGAATGACACTAGTGCTAGTAATTATTTTATTACCTTTGTAATTCATATTCTCTAACATTAATAATGATTGAAAAATTTGTTTGATTTCCAGGTTGGTAGAATTGATGATAATTTGTAGAGAAAGGTTGCCTCGATCAGAAAACGCGGTGAGGGGAAGTTGTGATTTGTGACGTAATCGCACCCAAAATGTCATGTTGGGATCATATAAATGTATGTATAATTCTAGATCACACCTGGATAGGTGAATCTACTTGAAGACAGTTGTAGAATATAGATTCCTATGACCCCTCAGCGCGTTTTGCTGATCGAGGCAACCTTCACAAATAATCATCAATTCTACCAACCTTGTCTGATTTTTTCAAACAGTGCCAGCTAGCGGCCGCTATGAGATTCAAATCGACTCGATTTGTGATATCTGAAAGAACTGAAATACCCCCTAATAATAATACCAAGTTTGTTGAATTCCGGTACACCAAACTTTAGTAATGAGCGATTCTTTATAGGGTTCTTCATCTTCCTCTCCCTCTATTATTTGAAAAGCTAGCGCAATTTTTTAATTGAAATGATTGGGAATCAACTTGAAATTATGAATTTTGACGTCTCGATATATCAAATTCTCATAAAAACCCGTTTTTTCAACTGGCCAATGCAATTAAGCCGTCTAGCAGCCGTCCTAGGAACTTGAAAATAATTTCCAGAGATCCTTTGGCCATTTTCATCAAAATTATTTTTCCCAAACCTGTGGGACAAATGGTTTTTACGAGATATAGCCGGCGTCCTTTCTTAGTTGTACACCCGGTACATCAAAGTGGAATGTTATTGATAGGCTACTGATTTGGTATATTATATAGTATTCGAATTTGCTCTTGTTGCAACTTATGAGCCAATGCACTGTCCAGTTGTTAAAAAATAGGTCCTGATTCGAACAGAACGCGCCAGCTCGTTATCCGATATCCATCATGATGACGTCAGTTTTCAATATTGCTACGCCAACCTAGCCAAAACTCAAACGACACATTGCCAATTCGCAAATAATGGCATGATATGTATCATTGCATTTTTAAGAGTACCTAATATTGACGAGACCTAACCATGTGACCCACATTCGGTAATTATAGTCGTTAGTAGTTATAGGTGGCAATGAGCCTGTAACTGTATTTGTGATTTTGGGACCTTGAAACCATGCAGAAAATCTTCAAGAAATGATAAAATCTATTACTTTGATTCAATACAATTTTGTAACTACAGTTCGACTCGCCAAAGTCCTGGATTGAAAGGGATATGATGAAGTAGTAAGTCAGGTTGACAAGAGAATCATCCATAAAAATATCTTTGGTCCAGTTGAGTAATATTAACATTATGGTTAATTACGGTACAAACAGATTGGGAATCAAGTTTTCATCTGGTTGTACCGTAATTAACCATAATGTTAATATTACTCAACCAAAGATATTTTTATGGATGGAGAAAAATTACAATACATTATTTTGCACGAACATATTTTGTACTGTAATTTATTTTTGTCGCCGCTGTTGATATCATGGATTGAGACAAATTTTTGACATTTGAACAAGAAAGCATGTTTCCCCATTAGCATTTCATGTCTGGCAGACAATCTGACTCGATATCGTGAACTGTATTGATTTTATCCGTACCTGGAACCGCTTCAAATGCAAAATCAAAACAGCCGGCGGATTGTAGATGAGCAATTGTTTGGAGGCGTCCGTGTTGATGGTCTTCTTTTCGGGCCCGCCGTGGCGTCTGGTGCACAATTCACAGCTCACTTTGTTGTTGCCGGCCATCAGCTCGCACTCGGTGAACTGATTCAGACAGGACTGGACGGAACATTCGCCCTCTTCGCATTGGTATCGGGAGGAGATGGTGCCCGACCAGAGGCTCTCGTCTTCCTCCGGGCAGTCATCCTCTTCCATCTGAACAACATAAACCGTTCGTGAGACTTTGCGGACATTCACTTTCACTGTTCGAATCGATCCGAAGAGATCACGTAACCAATGTACATACATTGGACACTTAGGGTCAAAGTCTGAATGGACTGATAAATTATTAGCATTCATTTACTCCACTGTGTCCTCTCACGCTTTTTTTATGTAAATAATGAGTGTATCCGTTATTCGAATTTGTTGAATTCTGAACCTCCTTCCAAACGTACCGTCATGGCCGCCATTTGGCGATGTTCTTCGATATGTAGAATAAATGGTAACGTCAGTTTTTATGCCGTTTCGTTATTGGACTCATGAAGCAAGGTTGTCAAGTCACCAATTATAATCAAGTTATCAGAAAGATATTCGAGTCCTATCGTAGAATAAAACACGAGATGAAACATAATAGGAGGAAATCATATTTTAGTTCATTCTTTACTTTTTCTAGCAGGTAGCATGTATAAATATTTTTTATACTCCATATCAAAATATCATGTGGATATTGTAGACTTGGCAACAACGTGCTGAATGCTGAGAACCGACAGGACACCGCCCACAATAATTATTCGTGCGCCGTATTGTCACGTTTATCCGTTCAAATGTCCCCTAGTGTAAATTAATATAATAATTATTTACAGAAATGTACATAAGCAATAAGCCACAACACATGTGGGAAAATTTTGAGACAATTGATTTGTTATTGATAATTAGGAATATTACCAATACATAATTGAGAATTTATGAATTATTTATTTATTTATTTATTTATTTATTTATTTATTTATTCTCATATGAATACATTTACAAAGACATACATATTCTAATATTATAAAAATTCTAAATTTTATCTACTTCACATAGGTTATTGACCTGTGTGTGAATTAGATAATTATTATAAACTTTTTGTAAAAAATTTTCAAGTTCTTAAAAATATTTAGATTAAATATTGATTATAAATTCAATATATACAAAGCAAACATAATATGGCAACTGTGTTAGGGTACGAAATCGTAACGTCAGTTTTTACTCGCGGTAAATTTCTAGCCGTTTGAAAATCACCGTGGCATTATTGATGATTTTAGCTTAAAACCGACCGAAAAAAAAAAGAGATTGAAAGGTATTTGAGTGATGATTCGTGGTGAAACAAATCTGTAATTAGCAAGGTGGCGTCTCCTTTATTATTTCATAGATGCCAGTTTCGATGTTGCCAAGCTGGTTATCAATAGATCACTTTGATACTTCATTATAGCCTTTCAGCAAAAGGTGTATTTTCAACAATTTTTAACGATGTATCAAGTGCTGTTGAATATTCTATGAGATTATTATTTTCATTTCCAAATTAGTATCACATTTTTTATAATGGTGTCAACATGTATTTGGTGTTATAATCAAGGACAATATAATCTTAGTAAAATTGCAACGTTAATCTGAGAACTATGTAAAACCATTTCATGACAGTCATTTTCAGTGTTTTAGCAGTGGTGGATTGGTTTTGGTATTTTGTTTGGTGTTCGGATTCTTGCTCTGCTAAATGGTTTGGAAGGTTGTTATTCCAACTTCCAACAAACTATCAGCTGGAGTCAATTCCCTAAAAATCTTATTAGGTGAGGAACAGCGTGAATAGTAACACATATAATAAATGAAAATCTGCGTCTGTAGATAGTTCTTGAGTTTGATAAAAAGTTCGCTAACAAAGTTTCCATACAATCGACGATCTTTGAGAATTCAATAGGAAAATCGTGATACGGAGTCATAAATCATGTTTTCCTTATTAAATTTCACATTTGAATGAAAATTAAAAATGTTTCTTTCTCCACTCAAAAAGTGAGTGAGTAAACAGGGTGTTTCTTAACCTCTCTGACAAAATGAAAGTAGAGAATCCTCACTTAAGTTTAAGAAAAAAATGTGGAATATTTTTTTCGAATGTCCCTTTGTTTTCAAAATACGAGATGAATACAACTTTATTGCTTGTCCCCACACAAAAAACATAAACACCAAACAATTTTTCTTCGAAATCGCTTGCAACACTTAACCTAATGTTAAGGCGAAAATATGGTATAAAAGTTTTTCTTCGAAATCGCTTGCAACACTGAACCTAATGTTAAGGCGAAAATATGATATAAAAGTTATTTGAATGGCGCTTTGCTTTCGATTTGAAAACAGAATTCGAACATCTCACGTTATAAATTATAGTAAACATCAAAACATCAGTTAGTCCGCTTACCACTTTTCCGAATGGAATTATCCATATATCTGACATTGAAAATGCGGAATGATTTGGAAACGGTATATTTTTTTTTATATTTTATCCAAATCCAATCCATAAAGAATAAAAAGTTCTGAGATATGAAGCACCGCGGCGTAAAATTTCAAATGGAAGTTGTCCACCGTTTTATAATTATTTTTCACTGGGAAAATTACATCTAATAAGCACAAAATTACATACCTTTTCATCTTCCTGTTCCATAGGACCACAAGCACCTTCCATGTGCATGTCTTGATCAGTGAATATGTTGTCAACCTTAGTTGAATCTCCATCATTTAGTAAACTGAGCTTCTCAAGGTCTACTTTTAGGTCGTTATTTTTATTTTTTGCAAATGCGAGTCTTGATTTTGGTCTTTCAAGCTCTCCTTCAATTCTGAAAGAATAAAATATGTTAAGATTCTACATTTCAAATATGAAAGATTAGAAGAAACAAATATAGTGAAACATATTGTTATAATATCTCCCGGCAATGCGATCTTGACGGAACCTTCCGAGAAGAACAGCGGCGCGAGTCCATTTCACAAAAGATGATCTCGTAATATGTAATATGAAAATGTTGATAGTGTTAGAAATCAGAAAATATCAATCACTCAGGTAGTGGAAAGATTCGTACATACATCCACTATCCGCTCTCACAAATACAGATCAATAGATCTCATGTCCAAAAGATCTACGATGAGTGTGACAGAGAAAGAAGTTTCGATAGTCACACCCATTGAGCATATGGAAACTCAGAACGCAAATATCTTCGTAATAGTTTGATGAAAGTCAATTAAACCCGGTATCGTTGAATTATAATAGTATCTTACCGATTATGGAATGTTCCATTCGAAAACCGGAAGATGAAAAAAAATCCTGAAATGTGAGAAAGTGCCCTCTGGTGAGCATATTCGATGTATATTCAGGGTGTTCCCAAATTGCATGTACATATTTAATATCTTGACTCATATTAGGTCTAAAAGTTCATATAGACATATGTCCTAATTTGATTCCTTTTCAAAGATGTCAACGTTGGAAAAAAAAGATGTTTTATTCAGTCATGAGGAAACCGCTGAACAAAAATCGTAAAGATTTCAACGAATTAGTAACACGTTGTATGTATTATAGCGGATTTCATTGGTAATACTAGTGCGCATTCAGTGTATACATTTATCTTTCTGCTACACGTCATAAACAAGGATAGATATACACTGAGTGCATAAATACTCTACCAGCTCATGCCCAATGGAAACCGCTATTAGTAATAACATTTGGCCAATCGCATTTTAAGTGCCGCTGTGGGATATTACTGTTTGTTATTTACTAAAAAGTGAGCGGCGAAAGAAAATTTACAAATTCTATACAAAACTAGGAGACCGTTCAATTGTGTAGGTTCAAACAAGGACCTCTTGTCGAATCTCGAAAGGCCGCTTCAAATTTTGATGTAAATGTTGAGTACTCCATTCAATGCATACATTCAAATTATTGGATAACCATAATATGCAACATTCTGAAATTTGTGATCTATTAGAGTCACATAACAGACTAAATTCTGCTACCACGAATAGGTTGAACAAAAGGAGAATCTATGCACATATCAACATTGACGCACTGTAACTCAAAAACGAAACGATTACAGACATATGTTCATAGAAACTAGGAATTATCTCCTTCAATATGTACATGACATGGTATATAAAGGGTGCCCTGAAATTACATGGAAATATTTTAGCTACAGATTCTTGAATTAGTAAATATAGTTCATATGAACATAGGTCCAAAAATGGCTCCCTAGGGTGTTATAGCCATCTGAAGGCGAGCCCGAGATTGAGATTTTTGGTAAATTTTGTCGAAACCCTTTGTGATAAAGTAACCAAATTCTGTACATGTACCTAAGATTTCATACCCAATTAAAACATGTTGAAGATTATGTCAAGTAGGGCAAATGCCTATATGTAATAACATCACTCAAACTCTCGTTCATTTCAATTTCTTAAATCATGAATTAACTTTTCTAAATTAGAACATCCAGTACAGTGTAGTTTCGTTCAGGTCAGCTGAGCTCATAGACTTTAGTTCCTGTAAAATTGCAAAACGCTTACCGTGCGAAACTACCTAGGTAAGCAATACCGCACCAGGAAGCAGCCATTCCCATTGCGGAATATTGCAAACCAAGCATCAATTTCAAATATAAATACTACCCGAATCGATAAGCAACTGACATTCATTTCAATAAGTGGATGAAATTCTTTCGGGCATTCATTCGGTAACGCATTCATTACATACTATTTGACTTCGTAATTGAATTAGTAATTCACGAGCTACTGCCAAAATGTTCACCATCTCCCCGACTTCGATCTTGCTGGTCAACCCCTGTTAGACGTCATAATGTAAGTACTAGTTTTTCATGTTTTTTCCTCTGAATTGTTTTATGTTTCATTTGGTAATCCACTATGGTTTTCTGCTAACCTGTCATGTGGCAGTATTTATTCATTACTTTTCCGTTTACTCAATGAATGTTAATTTTATATGTCTTGACTCTTTATTTTTGGATGGTGAAATGATCGAAGCCTCTCGTCAAAAAGCAAAGCGAGAAGGTAAGTTACGACACATAGGGGGGCCGACATCTGGATTGCAACACGTGGTGAAGGCGCAGTTTGTTTTCAATAATGCCATATAACCTACTAGAACCATCTGAGCTGCGACAATATTCCGAAATTTCGATCAGTGGCGTGGGAAATCGGTGGGGTTAGGGGCACTTATTTCTACAACTTTTTTGTTCATGGGACCTTATACTCCTCGGCTGAAGCCTCGAAATATAATCTTGGTCTCGTGGTAATGATATTCTTTAATACCATGGTGTATATTCAATTTTTTTCACCACTTGCATTAAATATCAATCATTATAGTTCTGTGAAACTGAAAAATAGACCTATTGTCACTAAGAACGCACTTCATTTCTTCAATTCTGAATAAAATCTAGTAGCCATGGCAATTACAGCATTTATTGATAAATACCTACTAGATTCTAGTGCCATTCCTGCGAATCTCGGATCCGAACAGTTAATTCGGGTTAATTATAACAGAGATGACTATCTCTTCATGAACTAAACTCCTATATTTGGAGTGAGACAGGTAAAAATTTCTATCTATATTTTCGAACCGTCATAACTTTGTATTGGATTAACCAACTTTCAATGTCTTTCAAGACTTTAATAGCTCATTTCATTGAGTACAGCTTCAGTAGTTTTTCGTCATTCCACCTTTCGGACATGATGACCCTGAATAATATGTGATAATTTTCGAAAAGTTTGTATATATTTTTAGAGGTTTCATTGACGGCGATAAAATGAAAGATAATGAGTTTCCTCGAAACGGTTTTGGATTCGAGAGGATCCATACAGGATGTTTTGATATATGGAATTGTTCACAACATATTGCATTCTGATACGTTCAACCACCATAAACTCAACTTCTACAAAATTTCAGATTGGCATATTTTCAACGCCATTACTGTACAATGTGTTGTTTATTTTCAAATATATTGTTTGAAATCTACTTTTTTGAGCTCATCATTTTGCGTTATTTTTTGAGTATATATTTTTTTCCATCACAGATAGGGAGTTCTCAATCTTTTTTATATGTATTTACAGGGAAAATACCATTGTATCATAATTATTCGAATTTCGCGATCATATATGCACGATGATCCTTAATCGCATGCGCGAGTGCCTCCGCATCGAGGATGAGCAACGACAGCTCGCCTCACTTCGATATATACCGCATCACCGTGTATGTCACTTTTACCGGTAACTTCATATCTAACACAATTTTGAGTGGAAATGGTGGCTATTAATAGTAAGAGAGCTGGCTGCAGTTTTCTACCGTCATCTGATAACGAAATGATATATGTATATCCCAAAGGAAAGTAAAAACATTGAAGTTCATCGAACGGTACCTGTGTTAATCACTATCCTGAGCAAAATCATGCGGATATTTGTACTCAATTTCGCGAATTGATAACGAGATAAGAATTATGCCATCCGATACCAATTTATTTATTTTTATTTATTTATTGAAAATGTTACTTCCAGTCAGAATTAAGTTCTGGTATAAGGAAGTATAGTTAACAATAATACCTAAAACTATACAATTATAATAAACTAATAAATAATATAATATTTGAAAACATTAAGTATTAAATTTTGACAAATCATTTCATATTGGTGAGCAAAAATCAATTTGAATATGAATCAAAAGTTGAAAAAAACATTGATCTATTTCGTTCAGAAGTGAATTTTTTTAAGTTGGTATTTGAATTTTATTGTATTTCTGCAATTTTTTATATCATCAGGTTATTTGTTATATTATTATTATTATTATTATTAATATACTTTATTTCAAAAAAAGGTTTACATTTTATATAAAACATATAACAAAGAATGAAACAGTGTCACAAAACATAGAAAATAAATAAATTAGTTTGAATTTAGATATTCACATTCAAATATTCATCTATAGAATACGGTTCTAGTTCAGTAAGCCAGTTCTTCAGATGATTCTTGAATTTTTTCACACTATCAATCACTTTCATTTCATTTGGTAATCTATTGAAAAATCTAATTGCTGAATAATTCGGATGCTTTTCTGTTGAAGTTAAACTATGTGTTGGAAAAGTGAAATTCCTGTTCCGAATGGGGTATCTGCTATTGTTACTTTGTGTGAAATTCATTTTATTTTTATACAGATGTATGACACATTCATAAATATATAGAGCAAATACGGTCATTATTTTATTTGATCTGAAGGTACCTCTGCACGTTTCAACATATTTCATATTGTATAATGATCTTATAACCCTCTTCTGGATCTGGAATATTTCCTTAGTTTGACTGCTCGATCCCCAAAATATTATGCCAAATTTTGCAGTGGATTCAAAGTTCGCATGATAGATAATTTTTAGGGACTTTTCATTCAAGTATTTACAAAGTATACGAATGCTGTATGCTATTTGGTTTAGTTTTGCTCCAAGATAGTTGATGTGTGTATCCCACTTTAAGTTTTCATTTATAAAAACACCCAAGAATTTTGTGTTACTTTCTATATTGATGTTAGTTTCGAGAAGTCTTATACTAGTTGGAGTTGTAATTCTTTGCTGTGAGGTCCGGAAAAGGATAACATGAGTTTTTTCTTTGTTGAGTAAGAGATTATTTTTTGAGAACCACTCATCAGCTCTCATAATGAGACTTTTAGAAATTTCGCAGAGTTCTGGGTAGTTTGAACTTGAAGTTAGTAAATTGGTATCATCAGCATAGCTGGTTATCTGGCTGTTATCGTTGTTTAATATTGATATTATGTCATTCATAAAGATTGCAAATAAAATTGGACCTGTAA